CATACCATCACATGCAATGCCGTGCCATACCATACCATACCATCCCATCCCAACCCATCCCAACCCATCCCATCCCATCCCATCCCATTCCATACCAGCACATGCAATGCAATGCTATGCCATACCATACGAGATGTAGGGATGTTATGTTTGCAAAAAATCCTTCAGTCCTCATGGGGACATGTTCATCCCAATGGTAAAGTGTATGATTGACAGAAAGTTTGTGTTCCAGTGAGTGTAGGGAGTCAGAATCTCACCACCCACCTGTAAACCTCAATGTGGCGGCTTCCATCTCGTTCCATGTGCACCAAACAATCCAAGAAAGGCAGCTTGTTGTCATTAGTGTTGTGAACTTGGTGATGTGGACAGAGTTGATGTTTCTGGTTTCAGGTATCGTCCACAAGTCTGAACCAGTGGCTCAGTGCTGTTCCCTCATAGACATTCAGACTTGATTGACCACAATCAGAGACATTTAATATATATGCAGTGGTTTAACTAAATATGTTGTTAATTTGTCAAGATGTCTTGTTTCGTCAGAATTCAGTCATCCAATATAATAACACCAAGTTGGGACCCCAACTTTGAAATAGCAGCAGAATGAGCTGTTCAGCATTGTCAGAGATTTGGCAAGTTTTTACCTCATGATCACTGAATTTATCACCATACAGTTGAAATGGAGTTTTATTGTTTTTCATTTGCTTTATGAGATTCAGACAAGGAGACAAACTGTAGACTGTACAGAAGTACAGGGTCTTTGTTTTGGTAGGGTAATCATGATAATGAGAAGAAAAAGACACAAGCCAACGTAAGACATACATAACAGGTATGGTGTAAATAATCATATGTAGAACAAACTTACTTTGAATACTTTTTACAACAGGAAAGTTTGTATTTTTGAACATTTTGTTACACTTGTTTAAAACTTGCAGCATAAAAAGTATATTCCTATGGGCAAAGTACATTCTTGAAGAAAACATATTTTGTTTCACACAAAAGCAGAAATGTTTCAGTGACTACATTTCATAATCTTTCACCATCTGAAGAGGGAGGATAGTGGGACATTAACTAACTATTTACATATTTATCTGTACAAAAATTTACATTCTACCAAATCTGCCGTATATGTATGTACGTATGTATATATATATATATGTATGTATGTACGTATGTATATATATATATATGTATGTATGTATGTATGTATGTATGTATATATATATATATATATATATATATATATATGTACATACATATACATACATATATACATATATACATATATGTATATATATAGATATACATATATATGTACATATATATACATATATATATATATATATATATATATA